CAGTGTGCCAGTCAATGTTTGTCACTGCTGCTGTGAAGTTATTGATAGCTGCCTCATTGTGAAGTCTGAAAGTGACTTTAGTAGTGTCTAGGGGTAATTTGCCAAGGTTTGTTATGAGGAAGGTAGGGTAATGGTCTGTGGTATTATCTGTGATTATGCCTGATCTTAAGGGGGATATGGTGTTGGTCCAGATGTGGTCTAGTAGGGAAACACTAGTCTCTGTAACTCTTGTAGGTTTTGTTACTGTTGGTAGCAACATGCAGTTGCTCATAGTGCTTGTGAATGGGTCCTAACACTCAGTGTGCGCAGTATTAAAAAAAATCTGGGACCACTTAGTACCTTGTGGGAGTGCCAGTTAAACTGAGCGCTAACTAGATTATTATTATTATTATAATCAAGGGGGAAGCGCTAAACCCGGAGGATTATACAGCGCCTGGGGGGGGGGATGTGGAAGGCATTCAGGCTTAATTCGGGGAACTGGAGCACAGATCCAATTCCCTAAATCAAGAGCCCCTCACCAAAGCGCTAACTAGAGCAAACAGTGCGGCAAACACCAAGGATTCACTGATATAATGTCATATTAACACTCTTCTTTTAAGAAGAAAGTGATGTTAACCCCAAGTTTAGGGTCTGTCTATCTCTGTCTTCCTCTGTCTGTCTGTCTTTGTCTATCTGTCTCTGTATCTCTTTCAATCTGTCTCTCTTTTTCTATCTGTCTGTCTATCTCTGTCTCACAGGTACACAAATACAAGTATACATAGTGTAAATTACCTAGGATAACCCAAAATATCCAGACAAAGTGCTATACTCTGCTTGAAGATGTGAGTAAAGGTGATGATGCAGTCTTGTGGCTTTCTCTGAGACAAAGAGCTAGATGGATAGACAGATAGGCAGGGAGCTTGACAGACAGATAGACAGACAGACATGTTTGTGTACCAGCGAAAACAAAGTGAGGGCGATGCTCATCAAATATCACCTCTAATCTTTCTTATCAGCTACACCTTCCCCCACCCTCGTGTATGCTCATCAGTCAGCTCTTATCAGTTGTTATCTCATCTTATCATATCACTGTCAAGGGTGGACTTTGTTTCTCCTTCTCCTCCTCCTCCTTCTTTTCTTCTTTTCTCCTCCTACTCTTCCTCCTGTTTTTCCTCTTCCTCTTCTTCCTCTTCCTCTTCTTCCTCTTATATACAATGGACCCCCGCTTTATGATCACCTCCCAATGCGACCAATTATGTAAGTGTATTTATGTAAGTGCGTTTGTATGTGTATGTTTGGGGGTCTGAAATGGACTAATCTAATTCACAATATTCCTTATGGGAACAAATTCCGTCAGTACTGGCACCTGAACATACTTCTGGAATGAAAAAATATCGTAAACTGGGGGTCCACTGTACTTCAGTCAGATGAGTCGAAGCAGGAGGAGGCGGGATCACAGTGGGACCTGCCACTAGTGTAAGTAGGTCGTCGTCCTAAGGTTGGACAAGCGTTGAAGTCTTTGTACCAAGATCCCGTGATATTGCAGTGTCTGACAGGTTTTGAAAACTGACAACTTGAAGAATTGAGACACTTATGCAACACATGGGAATCTTTATTGAAGAAACGTTTTGCCACACAGTGGCTTCATCAGTCCAATACAAAGTAGAAATGGGTAAGGAGAGGAGGAGTTTGAGGTAATCAGTCCCTCAACCTGGAGTCGATGTGTTCAGTCCATCACTCTTTTAGGAAGTACAGCATAGAGCCAGAGAGGTGGCTTATATATTGCAGTCATCACATCTGTCAGACACTGCAACATCATGGGATCTTGGTACAAAGAATTCAACGCTTGTCCAACCTTAGGACGATGACCAACTTACACTAGTGGCAGGTCCCACTGTGATCCTGCCTCCTCCTGCTTCGACTCATGTGACTGCAGTATATAAGCCAACTCTCTGGCCCTATGCTGGACTTCCTACAAGAGTGATGGACTGAACACATCAATTCCAGGTTGAGGGACTGATTACCTCAAACTCCTCCTCTCCTTACCCATTTCTACTTTGTATTGGACTGATGAAGCCACTGTGTGGTGAAATGTTTCTTCAATAAAGATTCCCATATGTTGCATAAGTGTCTCAATTCTACATCTATCCTGGCAAAGAAAGAACAAATCAAAGATGCTAATGTTGCAAAAGGAGTAGCTTTTCTAACTAAACAAAGGACACCGATAATGGAAGAGATGGAAAAGTTATTATTATTGTGGATTAAGGAAAAAGAATTAGTGGGAGACAGTGTTGTGGAGTCTACTATTTGTGAGAAGGCAAAGCAGTTGCATGAAGATCTTGCAAAGAAAATGCCTGGAACAAGTGCTGTAGTTTGTGAATTTAGGGCCAGCAAAGGCCCTAAAGCATGGTGAGGCTGCAAGTTCTGACAAAAGTGCAGCTGAAAAGTATGTTCACGAATTCCAGGACTGTGTAAAGACTGAAGGATTCGAACCCCAACAAGTTTTCAATTGTGACAAAACAGGCCTGTTTTGGAAGAAAATGCCAAAGAGGACCTACATTACCCAGGAGGAAAAGGCACTGCCAGGACACAAGCCTATGAAAGACAGGCTTACTCTTTTGTTGTGTGGTAATGCTAGTGGGGATTTCAAAGTGAAGCCTTTACTCATGTATCACTCAGAAAATCCCAGAGTGCTTAAGAAAAACAATGTCATGAAGAATAGATTGTGTGTGATGTGGAAAGCTAATCATAAGGCATTGGTCACAAGGCAAATTTTCAAAGAGTGGGTTAATGATGTGTTTGGCCCAAGTGTGAAAAAATACCTCCTAGAAAAGAAATTGCCACTCAAGTGCCTCCTGTTACTGGACAATGCTCCTGCACATCCTCCAGACTTGGAAGACCAAGTGTTTAGGGACTTCAGTTTTATAAAAGTGAAGTTCTTGCCTCCTAACACCACTCCTCTCCTCCAGCCCATAGACCAGCAGGTCATTTCCAACTTCAAAAAACTCTACACAAAAGCAGTGTTTCAAAAGTGCTTTGAAGTGACCTCGGACATTCAGTTGACCATAAGAGAGTTCTGGAGGAATCACTTCACTATCCCCCATTGCATAAGCCTTATAGGTAAGGCTTGGGAGGAAGTGACTTCCAGGACTTTGAACTCTGCTTGGAGAAAACTGTGGCCAGATTGTGTCCAAGAGAGGGATTTTGAAGGGTTTGAGACTCACCGTGACCATGACCCTGCCGACCCTGTGGACTCTATCGTATCTTTGGGGAAGTCCCTGGGGTTGGAGGTGAGTGGTGAGGATGTGGAAGAGTTGGTGGAGGACCACAGGGAAGAGCTTACCACTGAAGAGCTGCAAGAGCTTCAACTTGAACAGCAACAGACTGCAGTTGAGGAACTTGCTTCACAGTAGGAGGAAGAGGGAGTGAAGGAGGTGCCTTCTTCAGAGATTAAAGAGGTGTGTGCAATGTGGACCAGGGTGCAAGCTTTTGTAGAGAAACACCACCCTGACAAAGCTGAAACAAGCCATATCTGAAGCATGTTTTGTGACAAAACCCTGTCCCACTTCAGGGAAATCTTAGAGATGCCAGAAACACAGCACTCTGGACAGTTATTTTGTGAGACAGGGGTCCAGTGACTCTCAAGCTGGTTCTAGTGGCATTAACCCTTTAAGGGTTTCAGCCGTACTAGTACGGCTTATGCACCAGGGTTTTTGATGTACTAGTATGCCTAAATTTTAGCGCCCTCAAATCTAATGAGAGAAAGCTGGTAGGCCTACATATGAAAGAATGGGTCTATGTGGTCAGTGTGCGTGGTATAAAAAAAAATTCTGCAGCACACAGTGCCAAATGAGAAAAAAAAAAACTTTTACCGTGTTTTTGGATTAAAACAGCGACTTTGCACTGTATTTTCATATGGTATTTATTGTTGTATTCTAGTTTTCCTGGTCTCATTGTATAGAATGGAAGACATATTACAGAAATTGAGATGATTTTGACTGGTTTTACAATGAAAAGTACCTTGAAATTGAGCTCAAAGTAGCAGAAATGTTTGATTTTTACCAAAGTTCAAAAGTAAACAAATCATGCTGTGCGTCCAATACATGTCAACTGGTGAGTCTAATATTCTTTCACAAGTGCACTGATATTATTTGTACCATTTCTACACTAATGCAGTAGTCTGCATAACAGTAAATCTTCTACTTTTTTGTGAGAATAAAAATTCAAAGTGGAAAGCAAAAGAATGTAAGAGGGATGTGGGGACATGGCTAATGAACAGAGGAAATGTTATTTTAGTGCCAGGAATGTCTTTCTTGTTTATTCTGGACCCTATTCAGAAATTGGCATCTTTTGATATTTGTGTGAAACTGGCAAAATTGCTAAATTCTGACCACTGTATTGGATAGTTGAAATCAGTAAATGGGTGGTTTCTTGTACTCATTCGATAGAAAAAATGGAGTTCTAACGAAATAGTTATGATTTTTGTTGACTAGTACACTGGAATTGGCCAAAAATAGGGCTCAATGTGGGCAAAATCGCCGATGCGTAAACATCGTCGAGACCGCTAACTTCGCGAGAGCATAATTCCGTAAGTTTTCCATCAAATTTCATATTTTTGGTGCCAAGATGATCGGGAAAAGATTCTCTGTCTTTCCATAAGAAATTTTTTTTTTTTTTTTTGAAATTTGGCCGACCCTGAGAACTAGTCTCTGAGAGGGCCTGTCGACCCTGAAAGGGTTAAAAGACAGAGAAGGGAAGTAACCCCAGAGAAGGCATTACTATCTAAAGTCTTCATGGAGGGAGATTCCACTTCCAAGCACTAACTCCTCCCTCTTTCCTCCTCCCTATCTTCCAGAAGCCAGCATTAGCCTTCAATAAAGGTATGTAATACTTACATAACTGTAAAAAAAAATATTAATTCGGTTATCAGCCAACCTTCAGGAACGGATTACGGCCAATAACCAGGGGTCCACTGTATATTTTGTTTTAGAAGAAAATGTTTATTTTCATATTACTTTCAGGCTCGGGCAATTATGAACTTCATTGTACGATACAGACCCACCGAACAGTCCTTCCTTCGGCCCCATCATGACTCTTCAACTTATACAATTAATGTGGGTTTGAATCGCCCATTAATTGATTATGAGGTAAGTTTGATTATAATATAGTTTACAAGCAATTTCAGAATGTGCTAATATCATTTGACTTTAATTGCTTTGTGTCATATTCAGGTAATAAGCGACCTCAGTGACATGATAGCAGATACTTCTTAAATAAAGTTAAACACTTAGTATGGGTAAAGTAAAATAAAGATAATTTGGCAGTAACTGTGATCAGGAAAAAATAGAATCATCATCACTCCTGTTTTCCCAGTTTGTGAGCATAGGTTGCACCTGCTTAAAAACAAATTAATTTTTTTTGAAGGAAAATGGGGTAAAATATGTACAGCACTCTTCAGAGTGACACAAATTTTGTTTTGTTGATTTCCTGCACATGGTAGCAGCATTAGAGAATGTAACTTTAAGCACTAGCTAGTTATTCATAGTAGTAAAGTATTTCAAGCCATTTCATAACATAAGTATAAAGCACTACATGATTTGTTACAGTAAAACTTGTCACTAGTTCATTATCATGTTATTGTTTCCATGCAGTTATTTTTGTTGCCACATCTCATTGTTCATATACATACTTCATTGTTTCACATCATGCTCATTCTCTTCACCTTCTAAGTCTTCCTCCTTTCAAACTCACAGATATACGCTTTCTTCACAGCTTTTCCATTATCTATCAATTGTACATTGGCAACCTAATGGGGTTTTTCATGAATAAGACTCAAAATGCAGTTAACATCTCCACACTTTCTGACATAACACTATCTTTGATTGACTCTGAGGAAGCTGTTGACAGAATACAGGTCCAGACTTGTGGAACTTCATATCCATGAACTGCACGAAACCACTCTTCATGCCTTTAGTAGTCTGTGGAGGTGTCTGGACACAGTTGTCATCCCACATTTATTAAAAAACACCAATATTGCCCGACTTCCCAAAGGTGGCAGTTAAGCAGTTGCAAAAATCTGTAGTCCAGTAATTATAAAGTCAATTATCAGAATTTTTGAATAGGCCCTAAGAACCAAGATTGTTACTCAGGACAGGTTAGATTTAGATTATTATTATTATAATCAAGGGGGAAGCGCTAAACCCGGAGGATTATACAGCGCCTGGGGGGGGGGATGTGGAAGGCATTCAGGCTTAATTCGGGGAACTGGAGCACAGATCCAATTCCCTAAATCAAGAGCCCCTCACCAACATCAAGGAACCTTCCTTGAGGGGGGTTAGATTTAGAGCAGCTTGCTCTGGGCTTCAACAGTTACAAGACTATCACAGACATGGTCCTGGGTATGCTGGAAAACAGACTAAATGCTGATGTAGTGTATGCTGATTTAGCAAAAGCCTTCAGCAGGTGTTACCATGGTTTGATAGCACACAAAATGTGTGCAAAAATAATAGCTAGAAATGTGGACAGGTGGATATTTAACTTTTTAATAAATAGAACCCAGAGAATAGTAATAAACAGTGAAATTGGAGGCTACCAGTTAAAAACTCTGTTTCTTAAGGCTTGGTACTTGCCCCACTTCTGTTTCTTATATTCAACATAGAAAAGGACATAAATCACAGCACTTTTTCATTCTTTGCTGATGATACTAGAATTTTTGTGAGTGATATCTTTTGAGGACAAAGTGAATCTTCAAGCAGGTATAAATCAAGTCTTCCAATGGACCACAGACAATATGATGTTCTAGGAGAATAAATTTCAATTGCTTTACTATAGAGGAATTGAGAATAGACTGAAATAGAATACAAAAGAAACTTGAATCATTCAGTAGTGAAAGTTCAATGTGTGAGGCTTGAGAGTGGCAACATCAGAGGATCTCACAAACATCACAACCATATTACTCTTGCTACTACAAGGAAAATTATAAGCTGGATAAGTAGAGATGCTGACCTAATAATGATACTCTTTATGTCACTTGTTCTCTTCTCTCCAGGCTAAAATGCTTCTGTAGAGTAATGGCCTGCTTCATGACAGGAGCAATGCAGAGTAAGAAAACAGAACTTTCACTGCCTATATAAATGCAGTTCCTTGAATATAGGTGAGACAAATACATCATAATTTCCATACACCTGGAAAAATCCTTGAAGGACTAGTCCCAAATCTGCATACCAATTTAACTCTACACGAAAGCAAAATACATGCACTCCTAATAAACCATGGAATGTATTGGGGTTGAACAATTGCAATAACACCATGGTGAGTTTACAACCATGTCATTATAGTACCCCCCAGTAAAAAGCAGGGGTACAATGAGCATAAGAGGGAGCTTGATACATGGAAGAGGCCCTCTAATTTTCAACACCCTTCCTTTGTGCATAATAGATATTAGCAACAAACCTGGTACCTTCAAGATGGACCATGATAAGTTTTTCAAGTTGGTTCCTGATCAGCTGGACTGTGTGCATATATTGAACTACGTGCAACCACCACCAGCACCCTGGTCAATCAGACCAATAACCAGAAGATCTGGTCTGGGAGCAGGCCATAAGAGTGATGGCCCCTGGGATCATTGCAAAATAGATATGACTATATGGTTGTAGACTCCCATGACCTTAGGCCAATTTCATGAAGTGGTGAGGTTTGAGTGGTGGTAGGGGGGACCTTTTGTCTCGGAGAGGCACCACAATTACCACAGAATGCTTCTTAACTAAGAACCCAGCATCTCTTTCAGCATAAATGATGATATTTCCCCTTTCATCTAAATTGTTTGACACATCCGATAATATGGACCAAATCATGGATTTAGATTGTAGAATGTGGTAAATACTTTGAACAGCTTTACTTGCTCTGTGATGATATATGTATTATGAAAATGAATTAGTCACAACAATAGCAAATTGATAATGATAGAGTATATTTGATAACATTAGAAGTGGAACATGTTAAACCCTTTCAGGGTTGGTGCTGCTAGCTGGTCTAGTGGCTAACGCGACGGGCTGGAGTTTTGAGACTCTCTGACCGCGGGTTCAATCCCGGCCGGGGTATGGTTTGTTTGCAATCGTGTCATTACGATTTCGTGAGTCATGTTGACGGCAGTGAAGGGACTTGAGCTAGAGTTCGTCACGGCCACGCTAGCTGGAGATTCGTCTGTAAAAACTTGCATTTGTGGTCACAATGGTGCCTGTGTAACCTTCCTATGGTGTAGAAATATACCTAGTTGGACGAATCTTATTGTGGCTAGCTGGTCTAGTGGCTAACGCGACGGGCTGGAGTTTTGAGACTCTCTGACCGTGGGTTCAATCCCGGCCGGGGTATGGTTTGTTTGCAATCGTGTCATTACGATTTCGTGAGTCATGTTGACGGCAGTGAAGGGACTTGAGCTAGAGTTCGTCACGGCCACGCTAGCTGGAGATTCGTCTGTAAAAACTTGCATTTGTGGTCACAGTGGTGGCTGTGTAACCTTCCTATGGTGTAGAAATATACCTAGTTGGACGAATCTTATTGTGGCTAGCTGGTCTAGTGGCTAACGCGACGGGCTGGAGTTTTGAGACCCTCTGACCGTGGGTTCAATCCCGGCCGGGGTATGGTTTTATACTTTTGGCTGTCTGGAACAGATTAATTGTATTTCCATTATTTCTTATGGGGAAAATTAATTCGGCTAACAATAATTTCATCTAACGATGAGCTCTCAGGAACGGATTAATATCGTTAGCCGAGGGTCCACTGTATATATCTGCACAGGGGAGTGGAACAATTTTTCCTCCATAAGCCATGCGTGTCATAAGAGGTGACTAAAATGCTTGAAGCAAGGAGTTAGTAACCCCTTCTCCTGTATAAATTTCTAAATTTTAAAGGAGAAACTTATGCTTTTCTGTTTAGGTCACCCTGCCTCAGTGTGATACGGCTGGTTTCTTGAATGAAGAAAGCTGTATGTGTGTGTGTGTATATATATATATATATATATATATATATATATATATATATATATATATATATATATATATACTATACATACACACACACACACAAAGTGCCAGTTTGGAACCCTCACCTACCCAAGCATGTAAGGAATCTAGAGAAAGTGCAAAGGTTTGCAACAAGACTAGTCCTGGAGCTAAGGGGTATGTCCTGTGAGGACAGGTTAAGGGACCTGACAACACTGGAAGACAGGAGAAATAGGGGGATATGATAATGACATATAAAACACTAAGAGGTATAGACAAGGTGGACAGAGACAGCATGTTCCAGAGATGGGACACAACAACAAAGGGTCACAGTTGGAAGCTGAAGACTCAGATATATCATAGGGATGTTAGGAAGTATTTCTTCAGTCACAGAGTTGTCAGGAAGTGGAATAGTCTGTGTAGTGAAGTAGTGGAGGCAGGATCCATACATAGCTTTAAGAAGAGGTATGATAAAGCTCATGGAGTGGGAAGAGTGACTGGCTAGCAGCAGCCAGTTGAAAAGGGAGGCCAGGAGCTGTGACTCGACTCCCCGAAACCACAACTAGGTGAGTACACACACACACACACAAACACTCACACTCACACACACTCACACACTCACACACACACACACACTGTAGGTGATACTGGAAAACTTCATGTACCAACACGTAAGGGACACTAAAAGAGAGAGAGGAGAGGATGAACCAGCAAAACTGGACCTAGTATTCACCTTGAGTAGTGCAGATATTGAGGACATCACTTATGAAAGACCCCTTGGGGCCAGCGATCGTGTGGTTTTAAGCTTCGAATACACAGTAGAGCTACAAGTGGAGGGGGAAGCAGGAAGGCCCAGGCATATGAAGCCAAACTACAAGAAAGGGGATTACACAGGAATGAGGAACTTCCTGAACGGGGTTCAGTGGGACAGAGAACTGGCAGGGAAGCCAGTAAATGAGATGATGGAATATGTAACAACAATATGCAAGGAAGCTGAGGAGAGGTTTGTACCCAAGGGTAACAGGAATAATGAAAAAGCCAGGATGAGCCCATAGTTCACCCAAAGATGCAAGGAGGCAAAAACCAAGTGTGCTAGGGAATGGAAAAAGTATAGAAGGCAAAGGACCCAGGAGAATAAGGAGAGCAGTCGTAGAGCCAGAAATGAATATGCACAGATAAGAAGGGAGGCCCAACGACAATATGAAAACGACATAGCAGCAAAAGCCAAATCTGACCCAAAGCTGTTATACAGCCTCAACAGGAGGGAAACAACAGTCAAGGACCAGGTAATCAGGCTAAGGAAGGAAGGAGGAGAGACAACAAGAAATGACCATGAAGTATGTGAGGAGCTCAACATGAGATTCAAAGAATTATTCACAGAGGAGACAGAAGGGGCTCCTGAAAGACAGAGAGGTGGGGCACACCACCAAGTGCTGGACACAGTACACACAACTGAGGAAGAAGTGAAGAGGCTTCTGAGTGAGCTAGATACCTCAAAGGCAATGGGGCCATATAACATCTCCCCATGGGTCTTGAGAGAGGGAGCAGAGGTGCTACGTGTACCCTTAACAACAATATTTAATACATCTATCGAAACAGGGAGATTGCCTGAGGCATGGAAGACAGCAAATGTAGTCCCTTTTTTTAAAAAAAGGAGACAGACATGAAGCACTAAAAACAGACATTTTTCACTGACATGTATTATGCAAAGTCATGGAGAAGATTATCAGGAGAGAGTTTTTAAAACTTTTAGAAAGGAATGATCTCATCAACATAGCAACTGGTTTAGGGAGGGGAAATCTGTGTCACAAACCTACTGGGTTCTATGCGGGGTGACAGCATTAGAAAGAGAGGAGGGGTGGGTAGATTGCATTTTCTTAACTGAAAGAAGGCATTTGACACAGTTCCACACAAAAGATTAATGCAAAAACGGGGGACCAAGAGGGATAACAGGGAAGGCATACAATGGATCGGGAATACTTGTCGGGAAGACAGCAGCGATTCTAGACGTGGCGAGGTGTCAGATGGTGCCGTGCCCAGGGGGGCCCCACGGGGGTCAGTCCTGGACCATGCTGTTTGGGGTATTTTGAACAACAGACGGAAAAAATAGACTCCGAATGCCCCTGTTTGCGATATGTAAAGTTGATGGGAAGAATTCATTCGTCGAAGACCAGCAGAACTAAAAGGGGATCGGGCAGGCTGCTCCCTGGTCCAGAAATTTGGGCCCCTGAAGTTAAAAACCCCACCAAGTGAAAATCATGAAGATTGGGAAGGGCAAAGAGACCGCAGCGGAGTACATTGGGGGCCCAGAGACTAAAAAAACCTCATCAAAAAAAAGTTCTTGGGTAAGTATAACCCCAAATACATCCCCTAGGCACAATCGCCCAAAATAACTGCTGTAGCTATGGGGCCTAGCAAACCTCAGAACACATTCCGCATCTTAAAAAGGGAATCGTCAGGCCCCTGACACCTTTTACATCAGGCCCATTTTGGAGTAGGGGGACCACTTTAAAACCCACCCTAGCCAAGATGTAAAGAAACAGAAAAAGTGCAAAGGTTTGCAACAAGACTATCCCAGAGCTAAGGGGTATGCCCTATGAAAAAAGGTTTAAGGGGGAAATCGGTCTGACAACCTGGAGGACAGGGGGTCAGGGGGACATGATACGACAACAAAATACTGCGTGGAATAGACAAGGTGGACAGAAACAGGATGTTCCAGAGAGGGGGACACAGAAACAGGGGTCACAATTGGAAGCTGAAGACTCAGATGATAAAAGGGGATGTTAGGAAAGTATTTCTTCAGTCATAGAGTTTTTGGAAAGTGGAATAGTCTGGCAACCCGTGTATGGAGGCAGGAACAATCATATTTTTAAGACGAGGATGAAAAAGCCATGAGCAGGGGGAGAGGGTTATAGCGGTCGGTAAAGGGCGGGGCCAGGAGCTGAGTTTTGCCCCCGAAAAACCAAAATTTAGGTAATTAGATATACACACACACAGTACAGTCTGGGGGCCCCAAAGGGACTACAAACCCTCACTCAAAAAAAAAGATTTTGGGTGAGTATAACACCAGGCAATCTCCTAAGTGACATCAACCAAATAACGGCTGCGCATAGGGGCCCCCAGCAAACCTCAAAACAGCATTTGACACCTTAAAAAGGAACCCTTTTCGGGACCCGTACAGTTACATTGGCCCCTTTTGGGAGTATGCGCACCATTTTTGGAACCCCACCTACCCAAGCAAAATAAAGAAATAGAAAAAGTGCAAAGGTTTTTGCAACAAGACAGTCCCAGAGCTAAGAGGTATGTCCTACGAGGAGAGGTTAAAGGGAAATCAACCTGACGACACTGGAGGACGGGAGAGAAAAGGGGGGACATGATAATGAAAACCCAAAAATACTGAGGGGAAATTTGAAAAAGGGAAAAAAGACGGTTTTCCAGAGATTGGACACAGTAAAAAGGGGGACACAGTTGAACACGGGGATTTAAAAAGTATTTCTTCACCACATATTATTATAATCAAGGGGAAGCGCTAAACCCGGGGGTTATACGCCCCCCTTCAGCCACAGGTAGTCATAAGTGGAATAGTTTGGGGGAAATAATGTATTGAGGCGGACCATACTAGCTTTTTGCAAGGTATGATAAAATCCTAGATGACCTAGTAGTGACCCGTGAAAAAGGGGGGCCAGAAACTCGGGCTCGACCCTGCAACCTCAACTAGGTAGTACAACAGGTGATACACACACACACACACACACACAATTTTTCTCTCTCTCTCCTTTTAAGAAAAAAAGCCATATTCCACCCAAGGGAGGGTAGCCAAAAAAGAAAAAAAAGAAAAATTTTTATTTTAAAAAGTAGTGAAAAATACAGGAGAAGGGGTAGTAAAACCCCTCCCCTTAACATTATAGTAAAGTTAAAAAAAGAAATTTTCGTTTTTCTTTTTTGGGCCACCCTGGGTTTAAGTGGGATACATCCTTTTGGGAAAGAAAGAACATATAAATAAAAGAAAGAAGACATCGGCTTTAGAATTAAACTACTATATTTTCAGGGAGGTGGAGCTCGTTTCATCAGATACAATTGTTCAGTGGGAACACCGTGTTGGCTGGTCATTTTGCACCCCGGTCCCCTGACGCACTATCATGAGGGATCCAGATACAAAAAGGAACAGTATATTATGGGGTCCTTCGTTTACCCCTTTAAAGTAATATGCATACGTAGCTTTTCGAGCATTTTTTTAATATTTCTTTGTGTTTTGTTATGTGAAATGTATTGGATGTAGTGATCAGTAGCATAGCCAGGATTTCAATCTGTGGTGAGGGAGCTTACATGTCATAAAATGCTGAAAAAATTAAAAAAAAAGTTTTTAAGGACGATTTTTTAGTATGTGAAATTTCTTTAATTTTTATTATAATCAAAAAGAACGCTAAGCAAAGGGCATACAGCTGAAAATTTTTTAAACTATATTATCATTGGTCAATAAATTCAGTGAAAAAATTTTTCCCTTAATTTAAAATAAAAAAAGTATTTGAATTGGGAGAGACTTTAGGGGCCCTTTTTTCCTCCACCAGTGGCTCACTACAGGTAAAGATTATTGTATTTTTTTTTAAATTTTATAAAATGACAAGGCTCAACATTAACAATTCTGCCTTTAATAGTAAAGGGGGGGGGGGGGGGGGGGTTTATTTTTAAATTTTAAAATGAACCTACTATAATTAGTCCCATTTATGTTTTTGCTTACTCTGATTTTAAATACAGCGTAACTGTTTCTTGGAGTGATATTTTTCGCGTATAGTCCTTGTGGCTTAGCGCTTCTTTTGTTAAATAAAATAATAATAATGCTTATGTTATCATATCTGTTTTTTGTATTTTTAAAGAATAACGCGATTGGCTCACCCTCGCTATTCCAAACCTCAGGTGGGTAGAATTCAAAACCCGGTAAGCCGTGCTAAAAATAGCAGGTCAGTCCTCAAAGCACTGCACTGTGGGATTTTTAAAAATTTAACCAAGAATTTCTAAATTTCTAAAGTTTGCTGGGGCCCCTTAGTTAAGAAATATGGGCCTTTTGGGTAAATCTTTAAAAGGGTAGCGAGTACAGTTTTCATAGTGCATGCCTCTAGTTCTGTGATGGGGCCCACATTATATCTGAATCCTGTTCCAGGAACTTTACAATGGGGTTTTTACAAAATTTCATGAGTTATTTTTTTTATACCTTTTAAAATTATTGTTTTCATGATGTGTTTATTTTTTAAAATAAACAAATGACATGGAAAAATTTTATTCCTACTCTTTTAACTTTTATTTTAATGTTCACCTTTAACTTTTATCTTGTGAGTAACGTATATAGATTATTGTACATTTGTTTTTGTCCCGTAACTGTAAAATATGATACAATGAGTGTCAATTTGTCAGGGGAATTTTCACATACAACTTTCTGCATGTTAGAGGCTTTTTTTTTTTTTTTTTTTAAATTTAAAAAATCTGTGGTACAGTCTGTAAAAAAAATCTGTGGGCAGTCTGTTTTTATAATAAAATGTTTGAAGGTAAAAGTTTTTCTTTTTTTTGCTCTGTATTTTTTGTTTCAACCCTTGTGTTCATATACACTGTCTTTCTCTAAAAAACAGTAATGGCTTTTGCTTAGGATGTTAACCTGACATTTATAAATACGATTAAAAAGGCAGTTTTTTTCTAATCCCTTTTTATGATCCTGCTGAAAGCAATTATTAATTGAAATAAAAGCTATAAAAAAATTTTGTTAAATACAATTTGTATTATATTCTACCTTAAAAACATTGTGATGCTTAAAAAAATTGTGCAATTTTAGGGCTTCAACATTTCACTGGCCATCCGTAGCACACAGCTTGAGGTCATCCTCCAAGGGGGCTCCTTGGCGTGGTGAAGAGGCTCTTGGTCGAGAATTAGCCCTGTGGGTCTTTTTCCTCAGACGAACTAATTCCCCCCCTTTCCCCCCCTCCCCTATCCCATCCCCCCCTTTTTTCCTTTTCCCTCCTCCCCCCTCCTCACCCCCCTTTTGCCTTCCCTTTTTTCCCCTTCGTGATTTCTCCCACAGGCGGCTAGTTCTAGGTGGGGAAAGGACCCCGGGGTCCATCCCATTCGTTGAGGTTTCTTGGCGGTGGGTAGTTTGCCGGGAATCGGGGATTGCCTAGGGATCCCCCGACCCCCCCGGGTACCCCGGAGTAGCTTTGGGTGTTTTTGGGGGCGACGGGTTTACCCTTGGAACCCAAACCTTTCGGTTTCCCGGGGGGGGGGGTGGTGAAGGGGGTTGTTTGTGGGGGATACCCGGCCCCCTTTTTTTGTCCCCGAGGTAGCTCGGCAGATGTGGGGTTGCTATCCCAGATTGCGGGTTTACGGCATGAAGGGTAGGGTTTTGGAGGGTTCCATGCTGTTGCGTTTACTGCGGGTCGAGTCCTCTTGGGGCGGGGGGAGATTCGGGCCCCCTTTCTTTCCTCTAGGAACTATCCCTCCCGGGCCCCCCCCTTTTTTTTTTTTCTTTTTTTTATTTTTATTTTCTTTTTTTCTTTCTTTTTTTTTTTAAAAACAAAAAAAAAGAAGTAACCAAACCATGGCAGCCTAGTCCTAAAACGGTCCCCCGGGCCCCTTCTTGATCGCACCCCGTTCTACCCCCCCTCGTTTTGGCCCATTTCAGACATTCCTCATGCCTCGTCCTTTTGCGGTGCTGTTTTCACCCGTTAGGTACTAGGCTCGACTGATCCTTCGTTTATCAGCCCTTTCGCTCCCCTCTGACTATGTTCCGGCCTCTCCCTTGGGTTTCGGCAATTTTCAAATCGCCGACCCGTTCCACGTGGGACCAAATTTGGGTCCCACGCCTAAAGTCAACGACAATTCCCTGCTGAGAACTTCTCCCCCTTCACCTTCTGTTCCCGAAAGATCGACACGTCCTTAAACCCCTTTCCCAAGCTCTTTCAGACTGAACAGGGGGACTAAATTCTTCACTTTACGACCAACTTCCTCTATCCCTATTTTTCTGCCAAGTATTGCAAGGCATCCGCCATTTTGGTAAAGATATTTTTTTTCATGCTCTTAAGAGCGGTACCCATCTTTCCCCGTACGAATTCCCCGGGCTCGTGACTCTCTCGTCTTTCCTTGATACTTTCCCGTCCCCCTTTAAAAAAAATTCATTCCCTCAATTCTTGTAGTGGTACCGTTATTTGCCCCATCCCATGTTAAAAAAAAATTTTCCCAGACAGTGGCACCAATTCTAGAACAGTGGAACTCCAAGATCCCCCAACCTAAAGGGTAGACACTGTTTTTTCCTGCCCGGGGGCGGAGACGATCCCCTACAAGTGGCTCTTTTAACTTTTCAGCCGAGAACCCCCACCCTCCGTTTATATAGCAGGCATCGGTTACAAGTTCGAAAGGTGATCCCTACCCCACAACAGTGTAAAAATTTGCTGGCGATTTGGCCCAGCGAAATTTTGCAGATCATCGCCGAATGCCCGTCGTGGTGCGATGACCATTCTAATACGTCTTGCAACGATCTCCCCTTGCCTTAACTGTCATGAGGCTCACCCTTCTTTCTCTCGCCGCTTTTTAGGTCTTTTTAAAAACGAGCGGGAAATCCGTTACCTCAAAGAGAAAAAGGTTCCCTTATCCCATGGCGTTTCTCATCTCCCCCCCCCAAAGGGGAGACTCCCACGTGTTTCTTTTTCCCGTTTTTCAAAACGTCCCCCCATTTCGGGTACCCCTCTTCTACCCCCACCTCTGGGTTACCTCCCAAAAACACCCCTGTATCAAAATCCTTTTGCGTCTCGGCTGGGGACGTCCCTACTTCAACGCCTCATCTAATCTCGCTTCTTCGATTTTTCTCCTTACAACCTCGTATCGACGAGCCCTGTACGCACCTTTCCAACTCCCTCTACTTCTAAAAAGAAAAAAAAAGGTCCGGTAACACCTCCTACCCATCTTCCCCTCCTCATTTTACCCCCCTGTCTTGCCCCTAGTTTTTCCCCCTCTCCTGGCTCAGTTACAAGTGCAGGGGTTTCCCCTCCCCCTCGTAATGTCCCTTTCCCCCCCTTTTCCCCTCCCAATTTCCTTTCCTCTTCTGCCACCTCCCGGCCCTTTTCTTCTGTCCCTGCCACGTTCTCCATTCCCTCCCCCCTTTCGCCCCCCCCTACCTTGGAAAAGTCCAAACGTTAAAATTTTACTCATCCCCCCCCTCCCATTCCCAATATTGTCCCAACGACATCTCTAAATTTCCCGAAACTAAAGCAATCTCTGAATTATTGCAAGGGGCCCAAAACCATCAATGGGACATGACCCCCTTCCTTCTTTCTCTCTCCTCTCCCATCGCGCAACTCCTTTCTTCACAGCGCCCCTTTCCCTTCGGTTTAAAACATTTTCCACTGCCTCCGTGTGGACTTTTTAACCCTTTTAGTCCGTGGGAAACCCTTACCTGCGGATTTCAAGTATTTTTATCATTGCCAATTGGCCTTTTTACAGTGGAATAACGGGGCCTCAGGGGAAGGGGTGATTTCAGATTTACTCTCCAGTTTCCCCCTTTGGGGTTTTTGCTTACGGGAACCAAAAATACATCTGCTGTTATTTCTCAATTCGGGCTATAATTTATTGTATTCTTCAGATCCTTTTCCTGATGGGACCTTTAATAAAGGCCCTTCTTTCTCCGCACTGATATTTGTACCATCAGCTATTATTCATACTTCGCTGCATTACACAGCAGCCCGTATCCATTTACATAGGTGGTATACGCTCTGTTCTTTATATCCCCTTCCTTCTCGGGCATTACTATCCGGATTTTGCCTTCCTTGTTTCGTCTTACCGCCACCGATTCTGTTACTTGGTGATTTAATGCCCACCTTTTCCCTTGGGGGAGGGTCTCACGTGATTCCCGTGGAATTCATTTAAACTTTTCTTGCCACCCCCCCCCCCTCCATGTTTTAAATACAGGTACCCCCCCATTTTGTCCTGACCATACTCTTCTTGCATCGATCTTCAGTTTGCTTTCCTCCGCCGCATTGACTTTACTTGGTCTTTTTCCCCCGGACTTACATGACGTGACTTTTCCCCAATCATTTTTATTTCCCCTTCATTACGCCACCTCTTCGCACCCCACGCTGGCAATTTAATGGGGAAAAAATTGGGAACCTTTATCCACCGCTTTTTTAAAAAAGGGGTTCCCTTTCTTCGTCCCCCATGATGAGTTTACACCTCTTCTCGTCCTCCGTTTTCACCGCAGTTTTCATTCTATACCCAAACTTCGGGCGGGCATTCTCAAAAATGCGGCCCTTTGGTGGTCTCCTGCTTGTGCTGGGCAGTACGTTTGAAACGCGCTGCATGGGGCAGGTAGGGGACAATGAACCACAGAGCGCTCCTTGT